ATCATTCTGGGTATGGACAGGCACGAAGAAACCAACCCGGACATTGATTTCAAAAACAAGATTGTGCAACTCAAAGATGCGCAATCAGAACTGAAACCAATTAAACTATATCATAAGTCTGGCTCTGACTCAAGTCTATCCTTTTGTTGTATGAGTTATCCAACTTTTCGTTCGATGGTTTCTAAGAAAAAGTTAGAACAGGAAGTCATGTTGGTACTGGTAAAGAAAGTCGGTGAGTCTTCTTCTTCCTGTCCTCCGACGATTGAAAGTCTTCTTTCTGAATATAAGGATCTGGAGAAAGAACCCACCGGAATTACTGAACGTGCTATAAAGCACACCATTGAGATTATTCCGGGTATTAAAATTCCCAAGGGCCCTATCTATCGAATGTCTTCCAGGGAACTTGAGGAGTTAAAGAAACAACTGCAGGACCTTACGGACAAGGGATGGATTCGCCCTAGTTCATCTCCTTATGGAGCACCTGTCTTGTTTGTGCCCCAAAAGGAAGGTGAATTGCGTCTTTGTATTGACTATCGAGGGTTGAATGCCGTCACTGTCAAGAATGTCGAACCACTCCCTCGCATCGACGATTTACTTGACCAACTACAGGGATGCAAGTACTTCAGTTAAATTGATCTGAAGTCTGGGTACCATCAGATCGAGGTGGAGCCCGCGGATCAACACAAGACTGCTTTCCGGACCACGTATGGCCATTATGAGTTTATGGTAATGCCCCGATCTCCTGCTACATTTCAACGGTCAATGAACGAGTTATTTCGTCAATGGTTGGATCAGTTCGTCATCGTCTATTTGGATGACATTCTCGTGTATAGTAAAACTTTAGAAGAACACGAGAAGCATCTTCGTCTGGTTTTGAGTAAGTTGCGAGAAGGCAACTTCAAAATCAACCCGAAGAAGTTTGAGTTCGCTAAGCCCGAAGTTTTATACTTAGGACATATAGTGAACCAAGATGGCCTCAGGCCAGAAGAAAAGAAAATATCGGCAATTAGAGACTGGCCGCAACCTAAGTCTGTAACTGAGTTACGATCATTTATTGGCTTGGCAAGCTATTATAGGAAGTTTGTCAGGAACTTCTCATTACTCGCTGCACCAATGAGAAAATTGCTAAAGAAAGGAACAATATGGTTGTGGGACAAGGATTGTAAGTCCTCATTCAAAAAGGTAAAGTACGCTCTGACTCACTACCCTGTTCTGAAAATTGTTGATCCATCTCTTCCCTTTGTGGTCACCACTTATGCAAGTCAGTATGGGATTGGCGCAGTGCTTCAGCAAAACGGCGACAATGGTTACAGACCGATTGAGTTTATGTCTGCACGATTGCCATCTGAAAAGGTTGCCAATTCTACCTATGAAAGGGAATTGTATGCGTTAGTCTGTGCCTTAGACACCTGGAAACACTATCTATTAAGGAGACACTTCACTGTGTATTCAGACCACTCTACCCTGAAGTGGATAAAGACACAGCCTAGGCTCTCTGATAAGCTAGTACGATGGTCTGCATTCATTGACACTTTTGATTTTGAGTTGAACACTATCAAAGGTAAGTCTAACGTGGTTGCAGATGCATTGTCTAGAAGATGTGATTTCTTTGGTGCCATTGTCTCTAACCTAGACGTTGGGAATGATCTGAAAGATAGAATTCGCCAAGGATATGTTAATGACCCAATATGGAAAACTATCATGGATGTCCTTGCGAAAGACCCAAGTCTGCTTCCCAACTATAAGATAACTGATGGTTTGCTTTTCTTGCTAGACCAAACTGAACAACGATTGTGTATTCCTCACCAGGAAGAAATCAAAAGTCTGATTATTGGGGAATGTCACGACGCCGAAGGACATTTTGGTTTCAAGAAAACTTACGCTGAAGTTAGAGAATGCTTTGAATGGAAGGGATTGAAAGAGGATGTACTAACGTATGTTCGTACTTGTCTTGTGTGTCAGAGAAACAAACCCTCACATGAGAATCCACTTGGTCTTCTCAGACCGTTACCAATTCCAAGCGAACCAGGTGAGTCTATTTCCATGGATTTCATGAGTCTCACCAAAAGTCAGAATGGCAATAGTCAAGTGATGATGATCGTGGATCGTTTCTCTAAATATGCTATGTTCATTCCCTTACCCGAAAAAGCCAGAACGGAACTTGTGATCCAAAAGTTTCAGATGCGATGGGTGACTGAATATGGTTTCCCTTTATCCATTGTATCTGATAGAGATACCCGGTTCACAAGTATGCCATGGCAAAAGTTGATGGAGGCATACGATACACGTTTGACCATGTCGTCAGGTAGACACCCTGAAACGAATGGGCAGAGTGAACAAATGAACCGTTCGTGCCAACAGCTTCTGCGCATGTATGTAAGACCCGATCAAATAGATTGGGATGAGAACTTACCTAAGATAGCAAGTGCATATAATAGTAGTGTTCATACCTCTACAGGACGAACACCTAATGCACTGCATAAAGGTTGGAAACCTAAGTGTCCCATTGATGTATTGACGAGGGACCAATTTCTTAGGTTACCTCCAGGGACCCGCGAATACGCAGTATTGTTTCAAGAAGACATTAAAAAGGTAAAGGAGAACTTGAAGAAAGCTTAGGACCGAATGATCGAACAAGCTAATAAGCATCGACGACCATCAACGTTCAGAGAAGGTGATTTGGTCTGGGTCAAGTCTAAAGAGTTTTCACTAGAAGAAAATGTCTCTCAGAAACTCCTGCCTGTCTATTTTGGACCCTGGGAAGTTCTTAAAGTGATTGGAGATGCAGAGGGACCGTCTTACAAAATTGATATACCCCCTCATCTCAGGACCTATTCTGTCTTTCATGCGTCTAAGTTGCTACCTTATGTAGAAGGAGATGAATTCCCTCATAAACCATCTATGATACCGCCAGATATGGATGATGGATATGAAGTGGACCGAATTATAGAACAAGGATTCTTCTCTACAGGTGCACGAGGACGACCCCATAAGCAATTCAAGGTTCGTTTTAAGAGTCAGAAACCATCTGAGGACAGATGGTTTAGTAAAAGAGAACTCCTTGAATCTGCTCCTGATATCGTCTCTGCTTATGAACGTGGGTTGAAGTCTTAAATGTTTCTGCGATGAAACTCGAAATTTGGGTCGGCAGGAATGCAGTAACCCTGTTCAGCAGCAGACCGGGGCTCAGAACGTTGCCCCCAGTAAAGCACAGACTGTGCTGGGCTATGTGACCAAGACATGCCCAGCCTGAGTCTGTCGAGGAGGCTGTGTGACTGAACGCAGCACAAAGGAAATTCAACAGTCAAAGTCAACTGTAGAGTCAAAGGTACCGCGCCCAGGCCTATGGTCGGATACATTCACTTGTTGTGTGCAGGTACCCAGACAGCATTCAGGGCGGGAGGAATACAGTTTCTGGCCAATCTGGGCCCTCCTTCACATCGAGATCTGGACGGTGCA